ACATCTATTGTGTGGTCGTAACGACAATTCTTGACCAATAAATGAAAAGAATGAGTGGCTATGATACGAGGGTCTATGATATTGCAATGGGGTAACATGTATCCTATAATCACTCAAATTTCATTGAAAGGGTATTTTAGTCAATTAAACGATATTTAAAAAAGGAAATTTTTGGATTTTAAGGGATTATTGGTTCTTAAAAATCTGATTTTTTTTAATTAATTCAGTTTAAATTCTAATGTAATTTTTAATCATGACCACTTTTATTATGTCAGAATTAAATTTTGTTAGAATAATATTGTATGAGAATATCAACAATAAAATAATAAAGAATTTTGAATCATTCTCATAGAATGAGAAGAATAACATATCATTCCAATGGTAAAATGTTAATATAAACGATATTCTTTGAGAATGTGATAACACTTTTGTGATAATGAACTTAAAATAATTAGAAAGTGAAATACATCAATAGAATAAAAATCTTAAATTATTTTTACATTCTTGAAAGAATTCTTTTTTCTTTCTTGGTTTGTTTCCACTAGGGGTGTAAACGAGCCGAGTCGAGCCCGAGCCTAACCAAGCTCGAGCTCGGCTCGTTTAATTTTGAAGAAGCTCAAGCTCGAGCTCGAGCTCGATTCGAGCCTTAAAATGAATCTCGAGCTTGACTCGTGAACAATTTAGTGAGCTCGCGAGCCTAAACAAGCTTATACGATCCTATATATATATATATATATATATATATATATATATATATATATATATATATATATATATATCGTTTAGGATTATTTAGGCTCGCGAGCCCACTAACTAAAGCTCGGCTCGAGCTCGTTTAATCAACGAGCCTCATATTTACGCTCGAGCTCGGCTCGGCCTCGTTTAATTCGATCTCGATTCGAGCTTTTAACAAGTCGATCCCGAGTAGCTCGCGAGTAGCTCGGCTCACTGACAGCCCTAGTTTCCACCAGGCATGTAATCAAGAACAAATACAAAGCTTCATTTTTTTTAATAATACTATGTCATTCTTGAATTCTTTTGCAAAAAGAAAAAAATATCTTCATTCTTAAAACAATCCTTATTCTCCTTCTTTGTTCGTTCCAAGTTGTCTTATGACATTTGAGCAAAATGTCATTCTGGCAGAACGATATTCTATGAGAATAACTTTATATGGGGCATTGTAGAAGGAGATGAAGTCAAGAATGACAGGCGATCCCTAGGTAAAGCTTGAAACCTATGAAAAACATGAAAAACAAAAATCATGATAAAACATTAGCTACTTGCAATAGCCAACAAAAAAACATTAAACAATATATTACGAAAATGCCTTCAAAGAGTTTATTCAAATCAACCATATTAAATTGTAACCTGGAATCCTGATCCCTGAAAATGTTAAAATGGATTCATTTACGTCTATTGTACCATTGGAAATAAAAAATAAGGTTTAAATTTAACATATTCATACCTCAGACTTCACAGATCCAAGATCAAGATTTTGTTGTACTTCTCTAGGAACATCAAGTTCTCCAAGTAGATATATTAAAAAAAATCTAAGAAAATTACACAAAAAAGCACCCATTAAAACTTATAAAAGTGTGTGGTGTCTTTTTTGGATCATCTACACCATGTTTCAATGGAGCCGAATTAAACCAAACATGAAGAAATTTTAAGAATGAAAAAGGTCAACTAGTTGAGTTTGGATACAAAGTCAAATTGATTGTAAAACGTACTATGTATACTTCAAATCAATAATCTAAATACCTATTAAACAATATTAGGGGTAAGAGACTAGTCAATTTTGTATTCTGAAATATAAAAACATGTGAACAAAGTTGATAAAAAAAACCCAAATCAAATGTCCATGGAATGATTTTTTATGTACCCTTATGAGAAACTCATATTATTCCCAGCAAATAAATGGTATGCTGAAATCGATCATAGGAGAACCAAGATTAGAAGGCGATATTGGATGCTTTTATGAAGCGTACCTTATGATTTAAGATGTATGAAGAAATAATTGCACCTGCTGCTACAGGTTATTCACACGCATCTATAAAGAACTCAAACCATTTTTTGACCAGAATCAGGAAGCTTTTAAGTTTCAACCTAAACATCCTTATCATCCTCCTCTTCTTTAGCCTCATTAGACTCCATCGAAGCAACAGAGTCTCAGGTCTGGACGAACCTCTTCTCACAGATGTCGGAAGTCCAACGCTTTTCAAATGCACCTCATTACCGATTCTTCAAATGTTTTGATAAAAAATAGTGGATCGTGCTTGGTGTTTAGGAGGACATATGGAGAAATATTCCTCACAAGTGATTAAATGGAGACGATAAACATGGTGGGTGAGACAGGAGGAGGTTTGTTCATTGCACAACTAATGAACGCGTGGGTCTGAAGAAAGATATATTAACATAAATATAGCCACAATCTAAAATGCAGTTACCAAGATTATAGGCTTCAATTTTAAATTTAATTGATTGATTTATAAGTTATTTACCAAAATACCCTTATTTGATTAATTAATGTTTTATTTTTTTTCTAAAATATGATTGGTTACTACATCCACACAATAGATGTTAATCCACATTTGAACTTTTTTTTTTTTCTCTCTCTCTCTCTCTCTATATATATATATATATATATATATATATATATATATATATATATATATATATATATCATGTTATTGTGCAAAATATTATGGAATCCGAATATGGTGAAGAATTCCAGAATCTAGAATATATATATCATGTTATTGTGCAAAATATTATGGAATCCGAATATGGTGAAGAATTCCAGAATCTAGAATCCAAAATTCAATTAATAGTCTGCAATATATATTTTTTAGCCGAACAAAGTGAAAAGTTAATGAAAGTTACAGAAACCGAAGTAGATTTCGATAAGGATCATAAAAATTTTGCATTTTCCTGAAAAAGCTATCCGGTGAGAGAAGAGATAAAATATTTTCTTTACATTTTGATTCAAATTAAATATTTTGATTTTTTAAGCCTACTTATTATGAATGGTTCTGAATAAACGGTCGATTCGGTAAATATCAACGATATTAGTTATATAAAATAACTCATATAACTTCTAGTCATCTTGTTAATATCCCACAAAAATTTATTGAACAAAAACAAAATTATTAAATTTAGAAAACATTACTAATTAATGAAATATAAATTAGGATTAACGACTTCAAGATGTTTGGAGATAAACCACTGCACAAACTTGTTTAAACAGGTCACCTGTGATATTTGCTAAACGTATCGACAAGTATGGTGCATATGGTTTATAAAACTTGTATGGTTTGTCCTTAAGTTTGTCCTATTTAATTTTTTATTTTTTTACTTTTTATTTTATTTAATTTCAATCTAAAAAATAGAAATAAATAAAATAACTAACAACCACCCTCTAAGGTCCTAACCCTATATCCCCATACATTTTCTTCCTCCGTCCATCTTCCCCCATCAACTTGTGTTACTCATCCGCTATTTCATGAGAACCCTACCCGTGAAAAACATAAACTCCACCCCTTAATATGCCTCTATTTTATTTAGATTAAACCACCATAAACAACCTCTCTCTCTCTCTCTCTCTCTCTCTCTCTCTCTCTCTCTCTCTCTCTCTCTCTCTCTCCTTAACCGACAACCACTACAATCCGCAAACCATTAACTTGCATCGTGCTCTCACAACCAACTCCTCGTCAATGATGGCATTTTGATATCCACACAACTTGAATAAATTTTTAGCATCAGAAGATATTTTGTTAATTTATGGAAAATTACCATGAAGTGGGATGATGAAAAGGAAGGTTACCGGAGGAGGGAGAGGGAGTGGTGGAGATGAACTTATCATTAAGGAAGTGATGGGGATTAACTTGTCGATGAAGATGGAATTTAGGGTTGGATCCACATATTTATTAAACAAATATTGAATAAAAATGATAAAATAAATAAATAATATTGATACAAAGTAGGTAAAGTAAAATTAAAAAGATAGAAAAAAAATTATAAGGGGCAAAGAAGTTATTTTATGTGGTTCACTACGAACCATAAAAGAGAAACCACAATGAAATATTCATCAAAAACATTAGCAGCCATCAAAATTAAGAATTGTTATAAACTAGGTGTAAAACTCATGTATTGTATGGGTTAATTAAAAAAAATTAAATATAAAGGTCTAAATATTTAAGAATTTTGGATTTATAAAAAAATAAGAAAAATAATAAATTATTAAAATTAATTTTTTTATTTTTTAAATTTAAATAAATAAACAAAATAAACTAATGAACTTTAATTTGAAAATTTTTAAATAAGAAGGTAATCTGTTAATGAAATTGATATTTATTTATTACTATATTTATTGTAATTATTACGTATTATGTGTAATTTATTAAATTAGAAAAACCTATAAAATAACATGTGGATAAGAAATTAATTCAAAAAAACCATAAAATAACATTTGACAAATCGAATGAACGTACATATGGTAAAAAAACATTTATTTAGTAGAATAGATTGTATGGAACATTTATAAAAATATTTATCAAAATTGTGAATTTCTATAAACTATAAGGAGCATTTATGTAACTTATTTTTTTTGGGAAGATATTTAAGACTGTTTAACACCGACGACCAAAAAGTAACGAAAAAAAAAAGGGAATAAAGTTAGTGGATGTGTCGTTTCCGATTATTGCTGGACCTTCGGTATTGGATACCATCAGGGCATCAGGCATCCACAAACTTCTTCCATTCTTTTCCTAGTTCGAATATTAAACGTGCTGCAAATCCATGTTTGTACATCTTCTGGTTGCCATTTAAGAGTTCATAAAGTTTTGGGGTTCTTGAGAAATGATGATAGATGCTGCATCTTTTACTTGCTCATCAACAACAAATCAATACCATAAATCAAACTAACTGTTTATTGAAACATTAAATCTGAAATTTTACAAAAACAGATTCATATTCAGATTCACAATTCAAATTATAACGAATCAGTAATCATCTTTCTCCTTGTAGTAAGCATCAGGATAATACTTCTTGAAATTTTTTCCAACCAAACTCATCCCAACAAACTCTAGTGGATCGGAAGAACCCTGGATGTCAACAGAAGAACCCCCAGTTTGAGATTTGTCTCTTCTAGCTACATCGCTAAGCCCCGGTGCTGAATCACCACCATAATGATCGCCGCCACCGCCGGAAGGATTAGAAAACCCACCCTTCACCATAGCACCAACAGACAGTGGTTGACCGGAGACACCATATTGATCACGGTTGGACATCCCATCTTGATTATATGAGATCCCTTGGCCATGGCCGAGAGCTGTGAAAGATGGACCTTTTTCACTGTCGACAACAACGAAAGGATCGGGTTGGCCTAATCCACGGTAGATACTCCCATCTTGGAACTGATTCACTGAGTTTCCTTGGCCATGTCCCATGGATCCTTGCGACGGAGGTTGATTCTGCCATGATTGGTCGTTGTGAACTCCGTAGGGTTGTGGTTGTGCATCGACCGGAAACTGGTCTTGATCGAAGTGCTTTAGGCCTCCGGATGAGAAAGATGGAGGTGCGTCGCCGGAATACATGTTTTTCAGATGGGTTAGGAGCTTAGAAAGTAGATGGTACATATATAAACAAAGATAAAGGAAGCTCGGAAGAAAAGTACATGGTGTCCAGAAAGCTATGAACAAGTCGCGTCAACGCAAATAAAGTAAATACTGCTTCAATCCCGAGGAATCTTAAAACAAAATTGTTAGATTTAGAATAAAAACCCCTAAGTAACTATAAGGAGAGAAAAAACGAGCAATAAAAATAGCAGAGTATAAAAGTTATCAAATAAAAAAAAAAAAAAAAAGGTAATGATGACCACTCTACCCATGAACAGATACCATTTTTATCCCTACATTTAAACGATAGAAATAGAATTGATTTGATTTGCTCTATACCATACGAAGGACTAATGAACACCTCTTTGAACATCTGATCGTTACGATATTTTCATAGATTCCAAACTAGACCATAGCAGGTGGTATGAAACCGAGCTTTCATTTTAGGACTCCTTCCCCAATTTGAAGCAAATCTGAGTAGTTCGCCAATGCTATTGAATGATTGATTCTGTATGTCGCACCAATTAAAGATTTTATCCCTTACAACTTTGGCAAACAGACACCTTACCAAAATATGATCAACATCTTCTTCTCCATTTATGCATGCACCACACATAGTAGTTTGAGTCTCGATACCTTTAGCTGTAAGACCCACCATCGAAGCTATCCTCTGTTGAATTGCTCGCCACAAGAAACAGTTGGTCTTGATTGGGACTTCCTTGCTCCATTTGATTGTAGGAATATTTTGAGTTATTCCAGATTGACAATCAACCTTCCACCTTAGATCACATACTTTAAAAGCTCCATCTTTATCCAAGGACTCCTAAGTGTCAACTCCATTGACCAATTGTACTGAAGATAGATCGTTCCGGAGGTTATTGAGCTCTGTAGTTAGACCCGCTTTGTGAGGACATGACCGCCAATGACCTGCAAAAAAACCTTCAAAAAATCTGTCAGCCACTGTGCACTTTTTCCTAGTATCAAGAGCATAAAGAGAAGGATATTTGACTTTTAACACTGTCGAACCAATCCATTTGTCTATCCCGAATAAGATATTGACACCGGATTTAACTTTTAATTTGAATATGTCGTCGAGTTCAACCCCATTTTTTTGTAAGTCTTTTTTTTGTTAAATTTAGAGAAATTTTAAAACTACATTATCTTCTTTAAATTTTATTTTTGGCCTTTCGATATCAATTTTAAAATTATTTAATATAATGGAATTATTAGAACCAAGGTTGTTAAAGTTGAGATCTTACCTAAGATCATTTTTGTTGTAAAATTGTGATCGTAAGATCAGATTGATATCGGAAGATCTTATCAAAATGAATTCATATTCAAATTTGTTCTTAAGGTCATGAGCGTGTAGTATATACATTATCACTTGATGTTGATTAAGACGTCGATATGAAGCCCACTTTAACTATTAAAACATAAACCATAATTTTTTTTGTTGTAAACTGTAAAAATTAGGAATAAAACATCTCAATTACGAAAAGAAATAAGATCATTATGATTTACAACTAAAGACTTAAGATCATAAATTGAATATTATAGTGTAACCTGCTTAATTCTTCATAAATTGATAAAGTTATGATGCTCTATGAATCTTTTTGCAACTTGCGATGCTTAATTTTCAAATTGAATAGACAAATTTTTCAGGTTCGACTATATAATAAAACTAGAGATGTGAGACCCGATCGTCTTAAGATCTTAAGAACCTAGTCGGGATCCTAAGATTCCACTATTGATATTAGTGAGATCGGGATCGTTTTTGCTTTTTGCATCTTCAAAATCATAAGATTTTAAAATCAATATAAGGATCTTAACAACCATGATTAGAAAAATTATATATATTTTTTATAGACGTTATAAAAATCATTCACACATCCCATGCTTGTTTAGGTATTCAATAAAAAATATAATCAATTTTTGAAAGATACTCTATTTTTTATGACAAAAATGTGATATAATTATAAACTAATACGTTATTTATTACAATTAATCTTGTTAAATTATTTTAAAAGTTACGAGCAAATTTTTTCTTAATTAAAATGTGTTTATTCTCTTATTAGTAATTATTTATTTATGTTGTAGTTTATTTTATCCTTGTTATTATAAAAACTTTTTTTTTAATTTTTAAAAGATTCATTTTTTATTATAGTATATGAAAATCGCATTTGTAGAGATATTTCGTCTTTTTTAGTGCATTATTGGAGGGTCTACTAAACACAACTAACTAGTAACCAGCATAACATTTCCTGATTATTACATTGGAGACGCTCATCGTTTTATTTTTCATCTCTGCATTTGAAAGTTGCGACATAACTTACCAATATTATTCATTGAACGCCATATATGTATTCATTTCACTGGTTGCGGTCGTCCTCACCTTTTATATTAGAAACTAGTTTATAACATGTGGAACCACGGTTATAAAATTAATTAAATTTTTATAATAAAAATTTATAATTATTAATCAATTATTTTAAATAAGTCATTTTAAATAAATTATTAATTAAGAGATATATCAAATTTTTAAAGTTATTATAATTTCAAGATTAACATATAATTAGAAAATATAAATTTGTTTTGAAATGAGTTGCCCAATATATCTATATGACACATGACATAATATTAATGAGGAGTTGTATTAGAGTGACACTCGACAAAAAGAGATTAAAACTATTCATTTATTAGAATAGAGATTTAGGATGTGTTTAGGAGTGCTTTTTTATGTCAAAAATGTTTTTTTGGTAAAAATCCTTATTAACTTTTTGACTTTTTGAAAAAAAAATGTTTTTAAAAATGTTTGGTTTAGTTTTTATAGTGAAGAAAACTAAAAAGTCAATAAGTTGGTTTTAAAAAGTGTTTGACTTAACTTTAGAGGTAAAAATACATCAAAAAACTAAGATTTTGTAACTTTTTGAAACTCTCTTATTTTGCCTATCCAAAAAACTGTTTGAAAAGTGTTTTTGAATAACCCAAACATTTTTTTAGCTTATTAGTTTTTAAAAAACCAATAAGCTAATAAGCTGCTTTGAAAAGCACTCCCAAACACCCACTTAGTGTTACTAGAGAGTTTAGGTAGTTGAAAGTTTTTTAATAAAAGTGAACCATTTACTTTTAAATGACTGAAATGATAGAACAGTAAGATAGAAGGTAGGGTAGGGTTCATTAACCATTCAAAGGTTGTTTGTACAATTTCGATTCGTTTATTGGTCGGGGTCAGTGTCATTGTATCAAACATGCTAAATGTTAACTAATTAGAAGTGCATATGAATACTTCCACTAACAAGTATCAAACAACCACTAAGATTTTTAAGATATGATCATTTTAAGGGTCATGTGTGTCAAGTGCACACTAGTATAAATTTGTACCTAGGTTTGTCATTGCCATATACATACATAATTAAGATACGAGAAAAAATAAATTTCACAAGAATTACATTTTTTGCATGATCAAGGTAGTCATCATGGTCGGCACGTTCTTACGACAACAATAAAAAACGACGACTCTGCAATCTCTACTTACTGGCTTATCTCCAAACCAACTACCTTCCAAAGAATTTAACATTCATAAACCTAAATGATATAGATAATTATGTAAGTTGCTCAACTAATCATTAGTTAGGCTAGTGGGTAAAAATTACTTTGTTTTCGTCTTGAAAGAAATAATGTGCTCTTCGTTCACCCTCCATCCACACTGCGAGGGTCATCTATACTATCTTTAGTTGTTCAACAGCCAATTCTATTTTGGTACATTAAGTTCTCCTTTACTTTGTTTACATTTAGTAGTAGATGCTTGTTGGTTTCCATTTAGTCAGGAACTCCTACAATAGACAAAAATCTTCGTCAAACTCACATCCTTCATCCGAGAGATTATATATATATATATATATATATATATATATATTAAGTGGCTTAAATAGGAATCCTAAAAAGATTAGGAACTTAGGAACTAATCATAGCATTTCACTAAAAGAATGAACGGATCTAATGTAATAGGTGAAATCTTTTTTTTAAGGCATGGTAAAATTATCTGTTTCTGGTTCCACCTGATACTTGTATTCACAATTTAGTACACTTATTCATGGTTTAATAAAATTTAATTATAAAAGTTAATACATTCATACATATTTATACAACACAAAAAAATTAATAATAATTCATAACAAATTTAATACAAAACATCCATACATTCATCATTCACATTTCAGCACAAAAAAATTATACATTTAGAAAAATATTCATAATTTAATAAAGAAAAAAATATAAGTTTATATCTTAAAATTACTGGATCTATATGCACAACATTCATTTTAAAATGATGTTTATGAATAACATATGATCGTATATGGTCACACATTTAGCAAAAAGTCACTTATTGATTATTTATTAGAATTCAATTATTAATAATTATTATCATTGCATGTACCAATTTATGGAGAAATTATTATTTTGTGAAAATAATATTTAATTGGAAAATTATTGTTTTATGAAAATAATATTTTCTAAGAGTGTAACTAAGTGTTATTCCATCCGTCCCATATTAATAGTCCATGTTTCGTTTTTGGTTTGTCCCAAAATAATAGTCTACTTCTTAAAATAAATATCACTTTTACTAAAGTACCATTCATTATGAGTTATTCTACCATAAAATTAAATGCAACAAAAGTTAACCTACCATGGTATTAAATGCAACAAAAGGACAAAACTGTCATTTCATTTAATAAAGTTAGTGGTAATTAATGTTTCATTAATCTGAGTGTTTTTTTATCTGTAGACGGTAATTTTGGGACGGAGGGAGTATATCATAAGGTATGATTTAATATGTTATGTACAAGTTTTTAGACATTTACAAGTTCATTTATATAAAGTATATAAACTAATCCACATGTAGGAAATACTATTGAATGTAAGACACTCCATTTTATTCTTCCCTTTATCTTGGTCGAATCCTCAAGGGATGGGTGATA